TAACTTAATAATTTACTCACATCCATTTTGTATATTATAGGGTAAAACCGGGGATGTTCGGACGTACGAGGATGTTCGGATGCTTTATTAAACATCTGTTGGTTAAAGATAGGTTCCCAGAAAAGTATTAATTTATCGTGTGGTTATTTCCAATAAAAGTATGGCAATTTTGGTATATATGGAAAGTAGAGATATCCAATCTTACTAGAAAAATACTGGATTCCCCGAAAAAAACTCATGGAGCGTATACAGGACAAAAGTGTAAGGGTTCCCCTAATCGACAGCCCGACGATTAGGGAATTTCTGCACGCGTGATGTCAAAGGTCACACGCGAACATTGAGCGCTTAATGTATAAGTTGTTAAACTTTATGAAGAGTTAGACGTACAACACTTTCTGTGATAAAAATGACGGAAAAAAGACGCGGGTAGTGGATAATCCGGGGATTTAATGAGGATTCGATATTTGTAATAAATAGTAAGCGATTAAAGACAACATCGTCTTATGTATGCAATGAATTCTACTCTGACTTCCAAGAGAGGTAAGTCACGTGACGTAAACATGGCCTGGTTTGATCGAATTTTTATAGCAGGGCATTCCTTCGCATTTACAATGTTTGAGAAGGATTTAAAGCAAAATTATGACAAATTAAGTAGTTTGAATATGTTTTTAGTCCATATATACCATTAAATCACCAAGTTTGTACGCGGAAATGTATCTTTAATACGACAATCTTTTATATACAAAAAACAATAAAATGATCCCTTACATAATTTTTAACTGTTCTATTGTTTTCATTATAAACTGCAATTTAACTGGCTAATGTGCCATGCGCGTGCGGCATATGTTTATCCGCCAAAAACGAATTCGGACTGACATAACTATACGTTGACGTCTTCGCATTTTTCACTTTCCTGATAAGAGATTATGTTATCAAACCACGCATTAATTTGGAGCATCAGCCCAGTTGAGTGATTGCACATCAAGGGTTTAAGTCCGTTCCGGGTAGGGTGGGGAATACTATATAGGAAAAGCATAACCCTAGTGCCGTGTATAAACGCCGCTGGTGGTAAACTCCCGCCATTTATGATCGTTAAAGGCAAGAGCCATGGTCTTTACGCCCTTACAACATACATGAAGACCCAACAGGCGCCAAATGGCATTATCATCAGAAAGCCTGGATGGACGATAGGCTTGTTGTTCAATGGTTTCGAGATGTATTTCTTACAAATTGTGGTTCTTCTTGGCCACAACTTCTAATAATGGACTCACATAATTCCAACGAGACTCTTCAAGGAATGACATCCACATTATGGCTATGCCACCTCACACCACCCACTTTTTGTGCCCTTTGGACGGCTGTGTTTTTGGTCCTCTTATGAGAGTTTGTACTGAACATATGTCGGCATCTCCGTCAAATACCATTAACAAGGAATCAGTTCCTAAATTAACAAAAGCTGCATGACAAAGTCTTTTGCCGGTCAAACATTATGTCATTATGTCAGGATTTGAATCGACTGGCATTTATGTGTGGAATCCCCTATCAATTTCTAGGGATGCATTCATGCCATCCAGTACTTTCAATAAGAACCAGATTGACTTTCATAATGAACACCCGTTGCAGTGGCTAGTTGATAAAACCCATCCCATTAATTTATCAGTACCATCATCCACGTCTTATGTAACATCATCGGCGACTTTTGTGCCACCATCCGCGTCTTATGTGCCACCACCAGCTTCTTGTGTGCCTCCATCGCCGTCCTGTGTGCCATCATCTGCATGTAGGCCTACCATCAATTCTTATTTAGAAACAGGCGCCGTTCCAGCATCGAGTAACAATGAATCTGCTATAGATACATGCACTGCAAACTTTGAAGACCATTCCATGCAGACAGACATAAATCCACTTTTTCGACCAAGCTTTCTTTCTGAGAGTTCAAGTAATTAATATGTCAACTTTGAACGAAAACACCGTCCTCGCTGAAATCTCACTGCCGCTGCATAATTCGTTTGATACTGTGAATAATTCGTTTAATACTGTGAATTCGTCTCACGCTGCTAATTCTTCTCATATTGTGAATAATTCGTATAGTTCAATATTTGAATTTTCTTGGGTCTTCTGCCTGGAACGAAGAATTAAAAAGCTTGTTTTAGTGAACACAAGTAAAGACAAAACCATCTTTTCCAAATAAATGTCGACTAACTTCACATCGCCTATTAATTTCGCCTGAAATAATCAACAAAAATGGAAAAGAGCAAAGGGAGAAGAAAGATAAAGAAAATTCAAAGAAAAAGAAAACAATTAAAACAAAGATGTCTTATAAAATGAAACGTGAAAAATTAATATTCTCTTAATAAAGAATATAGTTATCAATGATCAATGTAAAAATAGATTTATATTTATCAAAATATATATATGTAGTGGTAGTGATCATCTTGAAATATTTATATGAAATACCTAATTATCTACACCAATTTACATTTAATATTAAATTCAAACTCGGAATATTATATCTATCTGTCAATGTGTGATATAACTAGTATATACCAAATCGTTGTTTTTGTATAATTACAATCATATTAAATATTCCTTTTAACAGTCAAATTTTTGTAATTGTTAGAGTAATTTCTTAAGCTAATTTGAATTCACCTTGTTTATTCTCAAATTGTGATGACAAATTGTACTGTGGACCTTTGGTCTTTCAAACATAAAATAAAGATTATTATTAATATTAACATCTGGTGCTGTATAGTACTTCAATGAGCTTACTGGTTATTTTTTTTCCTTCAAAACATCTACTGATTATTGTTATTTATTACATTTCTGCCCCATCCAACTACAAATTAAGCATATAATCCTATCCGACACGGGTAGAAATTATCGCTTTTAAATCGAAGCGTTAAAAGCTAGTTTTGCCCGACATTTTAAAATGGAATAAATTTGACGTCATAATACCATGAAGGCGGTGCTATGTTGTGCACAACAGCCGATAAAGATACGGGACATGACATATAGAAATAGGGGGTCGTGCATCACTAATGCACCGTAGTTATGGATGGCCTATCCGATTTTGTTAAAAACACCCCATGATTAACTTTACTGACGATATTTCCAGTTAAACGAAAGTTGTTTCATTACATTGGGTCGGGTATGTTTAATTAGTAATAGCATAAAATTAACTCATTTTTAAGATAAAGAAAATAAGTTTGCCAAGTGAAACCAATGCCATCCAATCATAGCTTGTAAGACTTTTGTAGAATTTTGCTCTTTAAATTCAGGATAGCATTATATTGTATTAAATAATATCTCTGGCAAGTTAGTAGATTCACATATTTGTACTTTTAAGAATCAAGTTAGCGAATGAGTGACAGATGGTTACATAAAAAAGAGTCATTATGTGGTAAACATTCAATTCTAGGTTGATAACAGATATCTCATGGGAAGTTTTTTCAGTAAATTTCCACTATCTAAATAAGGGTGGGTTTCGACGTCATTTGGCTCAATTAACCAATCTCTCTAATTATTTACATCATATTTGACCAATTAGATAATTGAAGGTCCAAAACCCAAAGCTACGTCAGACAGCAGGCAGATTCTGGAAGGAAAAGGATGTAACAATTTCTATCAGTAGACTCTCCCAGTGAGTGTGGCTGGCTAGTGTTGGAGAATGACTTTAGTATTGTAATCTATACTATGCTTGTATTTATGTATCCGGCTATGATATATAAAATGTAAAAACGAACTGTTGCATTGTTATTCCTGGTAAGACAAAAAATCTTAACTAACTGAGATAGAAAAGAAGAAGTAAATACATAACGTGAAGGGGAAGTAAAGACGACAAGTAAAAATACTAGAAGATCACAGGGCTACTAAGATGTAGTAAGAAACGATGCATGGGTCATACGTAGCATGTAGCGACCGGTTTGGGATATACCGCTCTCCACTTCTGACAAAAGGCCCATGGTATTACAAGCTATAAACAAACACATCAACTATATTTCAATGTTTTTAACAACGATATCGATTATCGGAGCTATAACAATACATATAAATTCGGATACTATGCATTTTATTATTGTAGAATAAATAATTAATTGTCAAGCGTTGAACAATTTACAAACACACAAAAAAATTCCCCACTGCAAAAATCAAAAACTATTAACAACATATTAATCTATTCTATTATTTATCAGTCACCGGCTATTGAATTTGATACATTTGGAATGGTCTTGTAAGTATACTAATGACCAATATTAGCTTCAATCATAAATCTTATAATGCCCAATGAGTTCGATCGGTGGTTATTTTGAAGTTAAATCATACTAAATTTTGAATTCGTAAAGTTTGAAAAAACCCTACGTAGGCTACAGCAGCACACAAATCATGCCCCCTGGTCATGTTTGAGAGAGAGAGAGAGAGAGAGAGAGAGAGAGATGGGGTTTAACGTCCACTCGACACAAACTGGGTCATTTCGGGACTAACATATAGTTCAATTTTTCCATAATTCGCTTGCGCGTAGGGGTCTTTAGCAGTGGGAGGAAACCGGAGGACCCGGAGAAAACCCACGAGGTTGGACAGGCGACCCTACTCCTTGTCACGTACAACCGGGGATTCGAAACCACGCCAGTTGATTCAATGACAGACTTTATAACCAGTCAGTCATCCAACCCCCCGGTCATGTTTGAACAACCCGAAAGACAGCTTTGAGAGTATAGACACTAGCCTATTTAAATTTCACGAGGGGTTGGGTGGCGGAATGGTACACGTTGGATCGCAAGGTCTGTCATGGCGTAGTTTCGATCCCCCTCTTGTAGACAAGGAGTAGGGTCGCCTGTCCAACCTCGTGGGTTTTCTCCGGGTCCTCCGGTTTCCTCCCACTGTTAATCCCAAAATGATCTAGTTTGTGTCGAGTGAACGTAAAAAAACCCGCTATCCCGTCTCTCTACTTCTCTCTCAAATTTCACTGCAATACATAAATCAGCTGAAGCGTCAAGCGTGTAACTCAATTGACACAGTAGAGGACACGAATACAGCAAAGCGAGTTGTACATTGTCAGCTTCCAGAATTCCGTTTGCACTCGGTTAGTGAACCCGACTAATTAACCACAAGAATAGTTATAGTTATAGGAATATGAAGTTTCAAAAGGTAGGACTCTGATGATAAACTATGAATGGTGAATTCTAATTTGCAGATGTGCTTTTATTTGGGATCGTGTTGAAAGGGAGACAACTGCTGCTCATTAGGTCTTACTTGATTTTATTGTTCATTGATGCCGGTCGTTTACCGTGAAGTACACTACTATTGTCAATGACGAGATTCTTGCACACATTGCATAAAAAATCCACTGAAAATAATATTTTGATATAACACTAACATTAGAAGAAATTTGATGATGAATAACTGAAAGCTCCGTCAATTCCAGTTCTTAATACATAAAGGCATTCAATTAATAGTAACAGCTGTTGAATTTCAGACTCATATTACAGAATGTTTTATTTTATTGTCATAATATTAGCTATCGATTCATTTTGTTATTTCCATGTTGATATTTCCACTCTTGTATACTGTATATTTTATCTATAATTATCTCTGCAGTTCCCCGTATTGTCTGTTGCAATGAACGAAATGACAAAGGGAGCAAATGTGTACATGTACATGTATTATAAACGTTCCTAATAGTAGCCTGTATATAACAATTATTTTTTATACGCGCACATTTTCATGTGGACGTATATTGTCGTCGCCCCTGTCCGCCTGTGTGTCCGTCCGTTCAAATTAACCAACTTCAACGAAACTTGAAATATAGTTGTATCTCACGAAGATCTCGGTTCCTTTCGATATCGGACCGTAACTTCATGGATTATGGCCAATGATTGTCCGAAAAATCGCGTTATTAGCTTGTGGTCCCTCTAAATGTCAAAATTTGTATCCAATTTACACAATTAGGAGGGTTGAGTTCGAATTTCAATAAAAATCGGACCAAAACCTACGGACACAATGGCCGCCCATCGTACACAAATAGTGTAAACATTATGGTATACCAAGGTTGTGGACCCTCTAGAGGTCACAATTGTGATCCAATTATGATGAAATGTGAAATACATGTTTATAACCCAAAGATCTTGGTTCCCATCGATATTCGCGCATATGAGAAAGTAACTTCTTGAATTATGGCCCTTCGTTTTATGAAAAATCGCGTTTTAGCTTGTGGTTTCTCTAGAGGTCACAACTTTTGTTCGATTTAACAAACCATAATGATGGCTGAGTTCGATTTTCGTGAAAATTGGACCAAAACTGCCGGACAATATGACCGCCCCTCGTACGCAAATAGTGTAAAAATATGGTATACATGCATCAAGGTTGTGAATGTGGACCCTTTACGGGCCACATTTTTTATCCGATTTTGATAAAACTTTAAAGCTACAATTTCATATTTTTAAGTTATATTTTTAAAATTTATTAAAATAAAGCCTTAAAATAGATGGTATCCATAAACCGCCCTACCTTGTTAAAGAATAATCCTATAATTCTCTATTGCCAGCTGAGAAATTGGCAAAAATATCATTTTGAACTTTAAATTCCAACGTTTGAAGGTAGCTAATGCATGGAGGCAATAGGAAAACAAGGGAGGTAATTATGCTATTATTTCCTGTGTCAATGATTTTTTAAGGGTGGGAAATATTGCCCATGGTCATATAATAGTGAGTTGATAACCTATTGAGCCAAAGTCATAGAAATAATTATGTTTTGACTTTCTTAGAAAATATGAAATTGTCGCTTTAAATTAATGTTTACATCACAAAGATCTTTCTGTCGATAATCGCTCATATTCGAACATAAAACTTCCTGGATTATGGTCCATGATTGTTAAAAAAAATCGCATGTTTTGCTTGTGGACCGGCTAGAAATGTCGGTTCCTTTCGATATTTGCGCATTTCAGACCATTACTTTCTGGATTATGGCCCATGATGGTACGAAAAATAAAATTGCTTTTGTTTTTAGCTTGTTCTCTATCCATCTCTTGGAAAATGTGGGCGTATCTTGCCTGGCAACAGCTGGTTATAGTGACTTTAAACTTTTGTAAGAGTACTTTTGATTGAATATTTGTATTTGACTTTATTAAGGCTTGCTGACCGGAGAGAAGATGAAGAGAAGGGGTGAAGGAACCGTTGTTATAGACGCAGTTCGAACTTGCCAACCTGAGGTGGCAGATAGCATATATCAAAAATGTCAGGCATCGTGTATAAAGCATTCCTACCCAGTAAGTCATTTCATATTATTATGCAGGCCAATGTTCACGCAATACAATTAAATTCGTTCATTATTTTGTTCAAATAATAATTATAGGTCACTTTTTCAGTCCGACTCTCCGATTTTCTGATCTGAAAACAAACGCCCCCGTCGCCCTTTTCCTACAATTATTTACAGAACCGGATGAATTAATTACCCGCATCAGGGACCTTTGGTATCTTTATAAAATATTTGAAATAATATTATTTCAAATTGCGCTGCCTCCGGTGAAATAGTGTGACTTACAAATGTTGTGTCTATAGTATACAGTATATTCTGTTAAATTGCATGCAATTTCTTTTTAGTTGAAGTTTCTTATTCCACAATACGCCAGTGAAACTAACTGTTGTTGGGTTTATCCTATAACTTATGGCGGTGGATTGGTAGAAGGTGACCATATAGATATAGCTGTTCATATTAAACAGAACTGTTGTGCGGTTATTACTTCACAGGAATCAACTAAGGTAAATGGGGGACAAATGTACGCTCATATGGCTAGGCTTTCTAGAAGTTAGCCTTTTATTCTTCGAATCCCGACTGCAAAGAGATTTCATGTGCGCATTACCATTCTGTACACGAGACACAAGTGGTAATCAAGATAATTTGGAAATTTTGAAAAGTTCGTTATTTTTAGGAACCCGATCTTTCCATGGCAAGTGGGCATTTGAGACCATTTGGGATTTTTTTCTTATTGTTTAATTATAGGTGTACAGTTGTGAAAAGAATATTATCACGAAACAAATGCTGCAATATCAAGTAGATGACCACGCTCTGTTGTGTTTACTTGGAGATCCAGTCGTTTGTTTCAAGGGTGCCTCCTACACACAGTCGCAGGTAAAAACAGATTGTCGTCTCATTGTTACCCAGACCAGGACAGTTTCTAATGAAGGTTATTTCAATTATTGAGAACCCGAGTTTAAGGGTTTTTTCGCGCCAGACTTATGAATAGCTATACTCGGAAAATACCATGGATATGATATTAAAGGAACTAAATCGCTATTCTTTGGCACCTAGAAATGGACACAAATGGATCGCAATGCATATAATAATGAATATGAATTTATATAAACTGATTTATATTCAATCTTTTCTGTTTTTTACTATATTTTCTAATCAGGTATGTTATTCTTGTCTATACTGGTAGTATTCTCTTACATGGGATATATTTAGCCTCGTTTATGGAGTCGCTTCATACAAATGGCACTCGAAAGCATTCTGGCACGCGATTCGTGTGCCAGTCTTAAACTTTTCATTTTGTCATAAATATTGGATATCAGAAGCCAAACTTTTCACAGTCGTGTTTGCAATGTCGAAGAATGTGGGTGATATTGATTTAAAGACTTGGCTCCTTTAATTATGAAGCTGTGTATATTTTAGGAAATACATATGACATCAGAAGGAAGTATTGTACTATTAGATTTATTATCTGCTGGTAGAATAGCAAGAGGAGAATCATGGCAGTTTACAAGGTAATTTACTCACACTTTTTAAGAACATCCGACGTCACTTCTCGCTGATCACCTAAGTTCTGCCAGTCTTTAACGGTTTGGTTCTTATTAAAGAATTACATAAATTGTTGACCATTGCCGCCACTGGGATATGCGAAGTAATTAAATGTCAGGTGTAATGAACAAATAGAAATCTGCCCTAATGGGGGGCTATGGCGTGAATCCCCACGCACGTACTTTATATAACGGAATAACAGATACAGATTCATAATTATGACGCATTAGTCAAAAGGGAGTCACGGTGGCTAAGTGGGTAGGACGCTGGCTCGCTAGCCTCGAGGTCGGGTGTTTGATCCCTGCATTGGCCTAGAAAGTTATCCAGATTTTCCAGCGTGGTTCCCCCTTGTCAGTGATGCAGTGACAGCTCTCTAGTCGTTCGGATGGAACAAAAACCGAGGTCCCGTGTACACATTGGCGTGCACGTAAAAGATCCCTTGACAGTTGGAATTCGATACAAGAGTAGACCGTAGTGCCGCTGTCTGGGCAAAATTTCCCTCATAGCACACTGTATGGCGTATGTCCGTCTTCATTAGCCCAGTTCGGAGTAGGACGTTAAACCCCATTTCATGAGAATACTCATGCAGAAAATATGCATGACACTACTGCCAAGATAAAAGTAATGAATTAATTATTTCTCTTCAGCTTTAAAAACAGCCTATTAGTGTACATAGATGACCAACCAGTTTTGAATGAAGTCAACCATTTAGAAAGTACACCATGGCTATCTGTACATGCTTCTATGTCTGAGTACGAGGTATGCTATCTCAGAGAATAAAATAGAAAGATACTTAGACATCTGTTTTTTTATATATTTATATTTTATCGATTACGTTAAAGCTTAACTCCGGTTACAAAAATACCGAAATAATTAAATAAAAAAAAGTTAACGCCCCCAAGCCGCCATACTTGTTTCTAATTTGTGAAATAAATATGGCGGACATGGAGGCTTATGACCTGGAAAGGTTAGCCGATCTCACTTCCAGTTTGTTTCTTGTCAGCCACCTGTACACATCCGGCCTTATTCTCTACACACGCTTCACTGATTGCTCTATTGTTTCCCCAACAGTATACCAAATTATTGAAGATTGCAAAATGTCTGATCAGGTAAGCCTGTAAATAATTATATGAACTGCGTCTACTACTGTATAGCCTAAAAGCTTTACTCTAAAACAAAAGATGCAAAAAGGTGGCTTACCCCAACCTGAAATTTTCAACCATGAAGAAGACAATAGTTTGTGCAGGTGATTTGTGCAGGTGAGTAAAGCTTGGGCTTTATAGTAGTAGACGCAGTTCATATATTTATCAGACATTTTTCAATCTTCAATAATTTGGTATACTGTTGGGAAACAATAGAGCAATCAGTGAAGCGTGTGTAGAGAATAAGGCTGGATGTGTACAGGTGGCTGACAAAAAACAAACTGGAAGTGAGATCGGCTAACCTTTCCAGGTCATAAGCAACAAGTATGGCGGCTTGGGGGCGTTAACTTTTTTTTATTTAATTATTTCGGTATTTTTGTAACCGGAGTTCAGCTTTAATACAAATCTTGAACAAGAAGGTTAGCAGTAAATGTGTTGCAAAAACAAACTGCTTAGCACTGACCTCTTTGATCACGACAGCTGGAAGTATATTGGTGCGAATCCTTCAGACTATTTTTCCCTCGGAGAGCCACGTTGGCTCGGTGAGTATGGCACTTGCTCTCCAACCAGGAGATCCCAGAAAATCCTCGGATTTTCCCTTGCCAGAAGCACAAGGAGTTCCTGGCAAGGAAATGCGTCTAGTCGCTCGGGTTGTTCGAGCAACTTAGGTTCATGTAGCTTTAAAGTCCGGGCGCAATTTTTATATCCACCGATAGCAAATTGTAAGGCGTCTATACCGGTTGGTGCCGAAAGTAATCCGAACATGTTAAATCTCATTTCATTTCTTTCCTCAGTCCCAGGAGCTCGTTTCATGAAGCTTTAAATTGTTTTGATTATTCATCATTATAGCTAAATTTATTTGTGTTTTTTCAGATTTTAGGAACTTGTATTGTGATTGGTAATAATGTAAAAAATTTGGTTGAAATTCTGTGTAAAAAGTATAGTGCACAGAAAAAGATAGGTTAGCATTTTATGCTATATAAATATACGCGTGTTTTCTTTTCAATTCGGGGGGTTGGATGGCTGAATGGTTAGCGTGCGCGCGCTGTATCATACAGTCTGTCATTGAGTCGACTGGCGTGGTTTCGAATCCCGGTTGTACGTGGCAAGGAGTAGGGTCGCCTGTCCAACCTCGTGGGTTTTCTCCGGGTCCTCCGGTTTCCTCCCACTGCTAAAGACCCCTACGCGCAAGCGAATTATGTAAATAAAATTAAACCGTATGTTAGTCCCGAAATGACCTAGTTTGTGTCGAGTGGACGTTAAACCCCATTTCTCTCTCTCTCTTTTCAATTCTTGTTAATATTACATTTTCAAATAAGCTAGAAGGAATTATAAACCTCGCATCAGAAATGTGTTAGTGCACCCCATTCGATAGTTTAACGAATGATTCGATAGTTCATTGTACATGAATCTACTAAAGCAGAGTCAATACGGGAGTTCAAGTTGCCAATTGATGGAAGAATCAGAATTCCTCTTTACGAATCGCCGAACAATTCAACCAAGTTTGAAAGATCTGTCATTGAGTGAACTGGCGTGGTTTCGATTCCCCGGTTGTACGTGACAAAGAGTAGGGTCGCCTGTACATCCTCGTGGGGTTTCTCCGGGTCCTCCGGTTTCCTCCCACTGCTAAATACCCCTACGCGCAAGCTAATTATTGAAATAATACTGAACCATATGTTAGTCCCGAAATGACCTATTTTGTGTCGAGTGGACGTTAAACCCCATTTCTCCCCCTCTACGACTGGCGGGAAAATCTGGATAGGCGTCTTCGTCTTATGACCATAAACACTGTAATAAATGTAGTCGACCGACGACAATAACCTCCAGCAAGAAATTTTGGCGTTTTGAAACAAGTACTAAATGAAAGTGGTGAATTGTGACAACGTTAACGATTGTCTTGAGAAGACGCACGTCATAGTCAACACTGTTCCTCCTGAAAGCTTATCAGCCGGAGCGGTCATCCCGAATTGGACAAATGTCGTACTATTAGATCCCGCACTAGGATAATCTTCTGTAGTCTTGTCAAGTAATACTACCATTTTACTACATGTATCTAGAGTACGTGTGCCCGTCTCCCCGATGTAGAAATTTTTACACCTATTGCAAGTGAAGACATATGAGATTTTTTGTGTCGCAATTCATATTGTCGTTGAAACTAAAAGTAAATTTATGAAAATTATATTAGTTATTTGGCGTAATGTAACATTTAGATACATATATGTGTGATTTCTGCAGGTGAACGTGAAGATAAAAGCCTACTGTGTAGTATTAGTAATTTAGAGTATACAATAGAAAAGAAAACTACACATGGTTGTTACCTTCGTTTTTTAACATCAATATCCAAGGTAACCTAATACATTATATTTTCTGAGAAATACGCCCCCCCCCCTCCCTTTTGTTATTTGCAACACACTACATGATGTAAGCCCATGACTCCAGGCGTAGTTTACAGGTTCGGATCAAATCTAGCATCTTTTATTCTTCTTCGGGTGATTTACATCCGCATGTCTTTTATTTACATTAAAATTGTTATTTGTCAACTTACAAGATATAAAATTTGAACTCACTCGGACGCCCCTATATTATTCTATCAAACATGACCGTGGCTAAGAGATAATGGGGAACTCTTTCGCACGTCCTGAAAGTTATCACAAGATTAGGTATTGGTCGATCGTAAGAGATCTCAATTAATTAATTATATGAGTTAATAACATTGAATGTTTTTGTCAATGGTGATTCTACTATTAAGTTGGTTCTACTAGTACCCCCCCCCCCTTTATCGTTTGTGTTAAATTGTCAAGATTCTATAGAATATATGAATATATATGTATCCAACCATAAATTATTTTGCTTTTCTATTTTTAGGCATATGAAATCATTGATGAGATAGTGCAGCCATTATTACCTATTATTGGTACAAACCCATACCATAATAAATATTAATCAAATACATATGAAACTAATTGTCATTTTTCTAATACTATTTTGCTGTAGATGGATCTCTTGATTATGAGATATCACTATCACAATATTGTTTTATTCCCAGAAAAAATATTCATTTTAGGTCACTGTAATGATGGGTCCTTTTCTACATATAGAATGAGTAGGGTGGTCCACGGCCTCAAACATGTGTACTATTATTAAGACAAAAATCAAAAACGTCCATTTTCACTTTTGACAGTATCTCTTTGCGAGTGAAATGGGGCCGTCAGATAAGCCGCCCATATGAACTGTTTATGTTCATGTGTAGGCAATTGGCCTGTTATTAACATACACTGGTTACCTCTAATAAAAAGAGGCAAAGAGCAGTGCATTTCCGCAGTTTTGTATTGTTTCTGAATATCCCCTACTTTTTTTTGAAATGTATAATTCTTTTCTATGGTCGAATGGTTAGCTCGTGTACGCCTGTATTATAAGGTATGTCATTGAGTCAACTGTCGTGGTTTTGATTCCATGGTTGTGAGTGATATGGAGTAGGGTCGCCTGTCCAACCTCGTTGGTTTTCTCCGGGTCCTTCGGTTACCTCTCACTGCTAAAGATTCCAACGCACAAGCGAATTATTGAAATAAAATTGAACAATGTGTTAGTCCCGAAATGACCTAGTTTGTGTCGAGTTAAACCCCATTCCACTCTCTCTGTGATGCATCAATTTTTGACAGCAATTCAACCATTGCAAAGTCCTTTATATTGATCTAGTGTTTCCATCAATGTCAATCAAATAAAAAATATTTCCTTTTTAATAAAAAATGAAATGTTCTTTAAAAGTAAAAAAAAGTAGTTCGTTTTTAATTGGCCGATCAAATTCGTGTAAAGCGATATCTCCTAAGATAATGAAATTTATCACACAAGCGATATCTACTGTAGAATGTGTTGTCGGGATTTGTTTAATCTCTTTCCCTTTGATCTTTCATTTATTGGTGTTCCCAACGGACAACTATAACCGCAGGCCTAATTTAAAATGACATACTAAATTATAACGGTAAACACTATAAGATCTGCCCGTCTATTCCGCCTGGGCATTTGTACAGTGGTAAATACTAACTTGGCATTTCACCGTAACCGTGAATATGATACTGCTGAGACAGTATAAGACCTGGGCTGTTGGATGACCGAATGGTTAGCACGTGCGCGCTGTATCATAAAGCCTGTCATTGAGTCAACTGACGTGGTTTCGAATCCCCGGGTGTACGTGACAAGAAGTAGGGTCGCCTGTCCAACCTCGTGGGTTTTCTCCGGGTTCCTCCCACTGCTAAAGACCCATACGCGCAAGCGAATTGTTGAAATAATATTAAACCATGTTAGTCCCGAAATGACCTAGTTTGTGTCGAGTGGACGTTAAACCCCATATCTCTCTCTCTCTCAGTATAAGACCACATAGGAGTGGAACAATCATACCATAATGTAATCGAGCGCCGTAGTCGCGAAACAATTTCAGATAGCAACGTACAATATTATGTAACTGAGCTCTTAATTGTTTGGGACTCCGTCTGAAAATTTTAGTCAATGTCATGGCAAATGGGGTCAAATTCTTGTGAACGAGAGGATAAGAAATGGGACAGCATCTTGGGGCCCACCTGTCATTTCCGCCTGTTTTTGGGAGTTGAAATAATATATCTACAGTCTGAGGTCCCACTTACTAGTGGTACTACTGGGCGGTTCACTGTAACAGTGAATATGACAGTGATGAGATAGTACAAGACAAAGGAGAGGATGACATAATTGAATTGAGCGACATAGGCGTGATAAAATTTCAGATATGTAATCCGCGCCTAGCCCGAGGGGACTTTGGTTCACGGGGTGCTTATCTTGTCTCATATTTACCTCTCCCCACCACACTAACTTGCGCGTAGGGGTATTTAGCAGTGGGAGGAAACCGGAGAACACGGAGAAACCCCACAAGGCTGGACAAGCGAACCTACTCCTTGTCAGATACAACTGGGGAATCGAAACCACGCCAGTTGACTCAATGATACAGCGCGCACATGATACAACGCCTCCTGATACAGCGCGCACATGCGAACCATTCGGCCATCCACCCCCTCTCACCAAAGGGAATTCGTTATTGAATATCTACTACTACACACATCAGCGGTTTTTTTTAAATTGGGTTTTAATTGTACGAAAATCATACATAACATTATTATTACTAAAAAGTTCAATTACTAGATCCATAAAGCGAATATTGACAGGAACCAAGATCTTTGGGTTATAAAAATATTTTCAAGTTTCATCAAAATCGGATCAAAATTGTGACTCCTAGACGGTTTACAACCTTGATATACCATATTTGTGTACGAGGAGCAGTCATTTTATCCGGCAGTTTAGGTTCGATTTTCACGAAATTCGCACTCGGTTGTCATTAGGTTGTAACTGTGATATATTCAAACGGATAAAATTGTAACCACAAGCTAAAAACGCGATTTTTCGTACAATCAAGGGCCATAATTCAGTAATTTACGATCCGATATGCGCGAATATCGAAAGGAACCAAAATATTTGGGTTATAAATACGCATTTCAAGTTTCATCAAAATCGGATAAAAATTGTGGCCTCTAGAGGGCCCACAACCTTGATATACCATATATTTACACCATTTGCGTGCGAGGGCGGTCATTTTGTCCGGCCCGATTTTCACGAAAATCGAACCCAACCATCATTAGAGAGTAACGGTGATATATTCAAACGGTTTTTTTTATTTTAAATCGGATAAAAATTGTTACCTCTAAAGTGACCACAAGCTAATAACGTGATTATAAGTACCGAGGTCTTTGCGAGATAGACCTATATTTTAAGTTTCGTCAAAATCGTATAAAAACTGTGACCTGTAGAGTGACCACAACCAAATTGTGGACAGACAGACGAATGGACGTCCGGACGGACAGGGGCGACAACAATATACGTCCACATGAATTTGTGGGCATTTAAAAAATAGAAAAAGCCTGTGCATTACAATGATTTTATTACATATAGCATGGATATAAAAACAAGGTAATGTAAGGGTCTTTTCTATTTTGCTCGTTTTCTCTTATCTATTGACAGTCAATTCTCTTTATGAATTATCAGATATCCTGTCACAGTCTCATATAACAATTATCTGTGAGCAGAAATTCGTCCGTGTATATAAAATTAACAAATGAATTAAAAACTTCAACTGAATGCAACAATAATGTATATATATGAAATATGAATTGATTATCAGCTCATAAAGTTATTAAGAATTTCACTAAAACCAGAAATCATTATCAAGATAAGGTCACCATGGATAGGCAGTGCTCTCCGCTAACCATATTTGACAGCTCTGTTTTATATGGTCGGCATCATAAATCCTATCTCTAGTCAACTTTATCTTCAAAATAAAGACCGTTTCAGGAACCTGTAAGTATAGAAATGAAATGTCTCAGTTCTAAATATTTCCTTTTCTTGGTTTCACATTTCTAACACCTATTAGGTGTGGAGTGCACACCCTGGTTAGTTTTATGTACAATAGCACAACAGAAACTGTATACTACATGAACTTGCCCTTAATTAAAACAAGAAACAGCATCAGGTGTTTTTAAAAGAATAGACAGTTTCTTCAGTAAAATGTACCAAGTCTGCCTGGATCAGTTTGTGTTACTATGTACCCAATGTAAACAGTAGATATATACTACACTAATCCACACTAATATGTACTTAGATTATTTAACATTTAATTAAGAAAACAAAATCAAAATACCAATGCTAGATAATGACCCAGTCTGCATTCAAAAGATCGATCAAATTTCAACCATTTTTGGACTGATATTCCTATTAGAGATTCATCTTTCACAACATTATAGTTAGCAAGTGATTCTTGTAGCGCTAAAATGATACATTAAGGCTTTAACCCAGTAGTTTTCTTATCAGGCATTTGAGAGTTCAGCAGTGATACAAACCTTTTAATATCTTTTGTTGGATTAACTCATAATATATATTTTAAGACTTTTTAGGCATCTCACAAACATCTCCATCACAAACAGGTGCTGCCTTGGCACCATCATCACCTGTTGGAACTTCAACTTTACCATCTATACCTAAGGCTTTTAAGACCTCATTCGGATCAACATGATCGGCCGGATTATCTTGTTTAAATTCTAGTAACACTTTACCACCTATTTAATATACAAATAAACAATGGTATAATCCCAAAATAAATAAAGGACACTTATTAATTACTTAAACATTTATCTTTGTATAAAGTATCGAACAATCAAATTACTTACTGATGTAATAAAACTAAATCACTTAATTTTAAGATAGGTGGCCATACAATGAAACATAAGCCTACACCCACTTGGAAAGGAAATACTTTTCTTCACCCTACAGCTTACTCTTTATTTCAAATTCCAACTGCACACAGCACCTTAGTTTTTTGTCCCATCCTGACGAATAGACACTCTCCTTCCCAGGCCCTCCATCCTCCACACTGACAAGGGGGAAAACTGCACCAGAAAATCCTTAGGAACGTTCTCTGCCAACACTTGTAGCGAACCCAGGATCTCCTGGTTAGCGAGCCAGCATCTTACTCACTGAGCCACTGCAGCTCACACTTGGAAAGGAAGACATGGTGAATGAAAAATCAAGGCATCACCAGTGTACTGACCTTGGTCTATAACATATGTTCCACCTGTCTGCATACCATCTCCCTCTAGTAAATTACCTCCCACTTTTTGTTCCTTAGACTGTAAATATATAAACATTTGTTAGCTTAATCTTAAAAAAAACATTTTCATCAATTCCATTTAGTTCTTCCTTTAAACTGACCCTTAATAATAGATTCGTCTTAAAGCATTGGGCACCAATCTAATATATGTATGTTGTTTTTGTTGAATCATTTTCGTTGTACAGCATGTTATTAAATATTTAAAGTTTAAACACAGATCTTGTTGGAAGTACCAATACAATAAATATTGTTCAATTTTATCAACCATTTACATTTTGATTCCTGAGATTGGTTGTGTAGGTAGGGGTGAGATAATCCTTAAAAATGTTGGATTATTTAACAAAAATTAGTCCAAGTTACCACTAGTTTTCAATCTTTTGTATGTAAGATGGAACAAATATTAAAAAAAAGTTTTGAGCCAAAATGCAGGATTTTGAAATTTTGTTGACAATAAAGTGCATGTTCACAATGCTATATGGAAAGAAATGGGGTATTCGCTCAGTCATATTTAAATTTTATTACCATTTTACAAATTCCAAATAATGATAAATGTTTTCTTGAAGTCAGGACTGCAGCCAAAACTTCTAGCGTGAAGTTCCGCTACAAGGTCCTCCCTAATAAACAAACTATACATTTTTGGAAAGCTTATAACACCAGGAACACAAATCCAGAGAGTTCCAAGCAAACTGTCTGCAATAACTCGATTTAGGGCCAGATGAAAATTGTGATAATTGTCAAGTAAATGCTATATTTATACTAAAAATCATGAAGTGTTTGCAATAACTGATTCAGATGAAAATTATGATAATTGCCAAGTAAATGCTATATTTATCGTAACAATTGTGAAGTTGACATAAAATTAAATATTTGCGAAAACACCTGATGCCTTCATCCTATGAAAGAAAATACTATTGATTAAATTTTGATTTAAAGCAAATGCAGAAAACATAATGGACAAGGGAGCATACAGAATTTTGGAAATCCAATTACGGTAATGGGAGTTATCTCCCTTTAAGGAAATATCAATAATTATTGATAACAGTATTTTATTTATTTTATTTAAAGAAACATCAGAGAATGGATAATGTGACCTTATATCATTGAAATATAATTGTATAATTGAGTAATTAATCAAAAATAAACAACCATCACAGCTTTGTGGAAGATTCGTTTTAGTCATTCAGAAAATTCGGGTGACAAAGAAAAAAATCGACCAAATAGGCTCAGTCTCCCACCCCCCTCTCCCAACTGAGATTGGCCCCCTACGCCCATGCAGCCCCTTACCTGTTGTTCAACCGATTCAGTTTGTTGAATCAAATATTGTATTCCCTCCCATCCTGTACCACTGAGTACAGACGGAAAACCGCACTGGGGTTGTCTTGTACATGAGATCGAATCATATCGAATTTGATAAAAACACATTGCAATGAGCTTCTTGAGGACTAAAATTTGATTTGACTTGATATTTTTATTTAACCAAACTAAACAGTGTTATTCCTTGTTTCAGGTGAACAACCAAACGTGTCTGATGTTGAGGACAACATCATACTTCGGAATTCGCATTTTGGCGGAAACGGACACCTGTCAAAAACAAAGTACGAAGCCGTGTTTGTAGTTCGTACTGGTTGCGGATCCTCTCTAATGCAAACATTTTGCTTGGAACTCTCCGGATTTGTGTTCCTGGTGTTATAAGCTTTCCAAAGATAGGTTGCCAGGCAACGAAACATAGGCCCACAGCAGCTAAATCGTCCGGGCAGTCAACAAGAGTTGTCGCATATTTTTACTTTTTTCGGTAATTAAACATTTATAATACACTAAAATCTGATTAAGAGCAACAACCATGCCAACGTTTTGTATACAAAACTTTTAATACTGTATCATGGATTTAGCTGTTCCAAGTCATAAAAATTCATTGAAAATCAATATACTTGTTCGTCTCAAGATCTTAAACTCTGTGTATCAATCCGAAGTCAATCGGATATTAACTTTGGCCTCTAGAGCGTCCACAAGATTTTTCAAAGTGATCAAGGGCCATAACTTTGGCAGTAATTATCAGAAATCTTTGAAAATCAATAGGATTCTTCGCCTTGTGACCTCAAACACTGTGTATAAATTTAAAGTCAATCAGATATTAACTTTAGCCTTTAGAGCATCCACAAGGTTTTTTGAAGTGATCAAGGGCCATAACTCTGGCAGTAATTATCGAAAATCACCGAAAATGAATAGACTTCTTTGTCTCATGACCTTAAACACTGTGTATAAATTTAAAGTCAATCGGATATTAACTTTAGACTCTAAGAGCGTCCACAAGATTTTTCAAAGTGATCAAGGGCCATAACTCTGGCAGTAATTATCGTAAATTGCTGAAAATCAATAGGATTTTTCGTCTCATGACCTTAAGCACTGTGTATAAATTTAAAGTCAATAGGATATTAACTTTGGCCTCTAGAGAGTCCACAAGATTTTTTTGAAGTGATCAAGAGCCAGAACTCTGGCAGTAATTATCGGAAATCGCTGAAAATCAATAGGCTTCTTTGTCTCATGACGACAATATACAACCACATTTCAATGTGGGCGTATAAAAATGTATAGTTTGTTAAGAAGGGAGGACCTTGTAGCGGGATTGTGTTTCTAAGCAAGCTAGAAATTTTGGCTGCAGGCCTAAGTGATCTAAAACTCTACTCTACATGTTAGCATGTAACTTTAAGCCTCAAAAATTTAAAACTTAAAACATTTACCTCCGAAACAGCATCTCTTGATTTTTTACTAAATAAAGCTGGGAAAATATTAAAAAAGTTAAATCTGAAAAATAAAAAAATATATATAGATTTAATTAGAAATATAACCCACTCGAACATAACCACTTGATTATACTTTTTACAATGTGATTCATGCCGCTGATCGTCAATATCATTTTATAGAAAAATATCTAATTTTTCACACCTCAATCCACACTAAAATGTACTCCAAGTATCTCACATTGGACAAAACCAGAAGAAATGAGCTACTCTTATAGGTGACACTGGCTTGTTTATATGGGTTATAGACAAAATGGTTTTCAAACCAAAATAACCCCAAAACAGAAAAAAGGTTGTCAGAACTGATATAACTTTTATTCTTTCAATGGCATTTAGTAATTGGAACATAATCAAATAACACACTATTTATGGATAACAATTACTATGGTTTATTTCACGGCGTCTTTTCAACAAGATTTCACAAGTCGTTATATGCTTGATAACGACTTGTGAAATCTTGTTGAAACGTCCGAAATAAACCATAGTAATTGTTATCCATAAATAGTGTGTTATTTGTTATAACTTTTAGTTAATAAAAACAGCCATAGATCGGTCATAACAGCGATTCACACCAAGATAGCTAATTAAATGTTTATTCATTATGACCTATTTTTATGAGTAATGATATACATTTACATAAATCTGACAAAATCTTTTGCCATTTTAACCAGTCAATCTTTTGCCATTTTAACCAGTCAATCTTTTGCCATTTTAACCAGTCAATCTTTTGCCATTTTAACCAGTCAATTTGAGCTGTTCTGGTCTATAGTTGTTTCAGTCATATCCCATTGATATTCAATTGCGAAATTTTTAATATATCATCTCTTTGTAAGGACTGTACTGAATTGAACCTTTCTTGAACTGATATTCCTTTTAAAATATCTTAAATGGCGATTATAGACTTTAAAGAGAAGAAAAGTTTTGACTGATGTATTACCTTTTAAATCCTAAATCTTTGTAACACTGTTTCTTTAAATCAATATACAATTCTGAAAATAAAATATAGGTTGCCAGGTAATGATCATACAATTAAAGCAACTAGAAGTCATACAATCAGTCCTTAATGGTTGTTGCATTTTGATGCTTCAGGTAGAGTTCTATGACAAAACCATGGACAATAACTCATCGAACCAAGTAGAGAAAATTTGATCTGTTTACAGTAAAAATCAATGGGTTATAGATTAAATCAACATTTGATTTATAAACTTACCACCACTGAAAAATTTGCCCGCTACAAATTCCTCGACCCCTATTTCCTCCAAGCCAATTGCCACCAAACGAACATTGTTAGCATCCAGCTGAGGTTTCAGGGCACTGAGTTGCCTCGCTCCGAGGCGACAGAACCCTCATCCAAACCGTCTTAAAAATGTGACTACCACTCTCTGTGAAGACCAAAAACTTTCCATGGCAACCATCTGAAATCAAAATGTTAAGATTCCTATTAAAACAAGCCAAAACGAACATTGTTAGCATCCAGTTGAGCTTGCAGGGCAATGAGTTGCTTCGCTCTGAGGCTACAGAACCCTCATCCAAATCATCTTAAAAATGTGACTACCACTCTCTGTGAAGACCAAAAACTTTCCAAGGCAACCATCTGAAATCAAAATGTTAATATGTCTATCAAAACAAGCCCTGATATAAACCCACATTGCACAATTTTTATATTTTTATAAAGTATCTAGCAATCAAATTACTTATCAATCATTATCACGTTATTAATGTAATTAAGCTATGTTTCACCAATCTTATTCAATTAAAAGTAAAAGCAGTGTTCTAAAACACTGACCAATCTGATTGATTATTGATATACATGTATAATACTGTACTGCCTCTCTCGCGCAATTAGAATGTTACCCAGTATCGTATTCCAAAGTCTTGGCCATGTAAATTGCTTATCTCAGCTGCTTAACCTGAGCAGAAGAGGCTCATTACCAAAATTAGTTTGAACATTACTCAAAAGGCTTACAGATCTCTGTCAATTTAATGTTACAGTTTTATAACTAAAGTCTATATATTAGTAATCGTATATATAGGCCTATTTATATAATTCTATGTCGGTGTCATCTGACAACCAATGATCCACTTGACATTGATGAATGATACTAATTTTTTGGCTTAAGGAAGGAAGCCACTCAATGAATGAGGTTAAACACAAGAGAATACTACCGTGTACATGTATATAGACTGGAATAACCAGACGCCAAAGACTGTCTAAAATGCCTTTCAATTTGGACTCTTTGTGTATAAAGCCAAAATATATATAGGCCTACCTGATTAGAAATTTCAGTAAAACAGAAATGATTGAATATAAATCAGTTTATATACATTCATATTACATGATATTGATTATATCTGTTGCGACCCATTTGTGACCATTAGTATTAGGCTATATCAAAGAATAGAGATTTAGCTTCTTTATTTAAGACTAGAGGCCCCTCAAAAGATTTTAATAAACACTGTCACAATATTTGCAAGTCAATCATGATGAGCTAATTTAAAGTAGCTAAGTCTCTAACTCAATATCATCCAAAGTCTTCGACATTGAAAACACAAATTATTTATCAATTTAAATCAACACTGATGTAGTGATCTTACCGGGAAAAGATGGCCTTCTGATATCCAATATTTAAGTTATTAACACAAAATAAACATTTAACCATTGGTACACGAATCGTGTGCCGTAATGCGTTTCAGCGCCATTTGTAACAAGGGACTCGAAGAACAAAACTCAGGGACGTACATAACGATTTTGTTCGGATGGGGGGGGGGGGTGTTTAGCCAAAATGCAACCGACTGATGCACATACCCCTAGTACAAGTTTTCTAGGGGGCATGTGCAGTAGCGGATTTAGAAGCTGGGAATAGGTAGTGGAGTGGGGGCTGTTCCAAATCTAGGGCGCCATCCACAATCCCACCCCACAATGAATGTCAACAAAATACTGGTAGAACATAGATAGTACATGTATATAATTATATAGTTGTTCGCCGATCGTTGTCTCGCCGGAAAGCAGTTTTATTTATGTTTATGTCATATATGATGATTGTGCCAATAACACTGCTCAAGCAACCTGAGAAAATTTTGAAAAATTGAGTCAATATCCTTGCATTTGAGGTCATTGCTGGGAGAAATTCTTGTGGACAAGAGGACCAGAAATGTGAGTCAATGGGACAAAATCTTGAGATCTGCCCCTGTCAATTCCGCCTGTTTTGCAAGAATTGACCTAACATTTGTACAGTCTGACTCCCCACGACCAGTGGTACTACTAATATAACTGGACAGTTCACTATAACTGTTAATATGATAGTGCCGAGACAGTATAAGACAGCAGAGGAGTGGAAGAATAATGTTATAATGGAAACGAGCGCCGTTTATTAATTTTTTTGGACTGGGCCTGAAAATTTTAGTCAATGTCATAGCAAATGGAACCAAATTCTCGTTAACAAGAGAATAAGAAATGGGACAGAATCTTGAGGCATATCTGTCAATTTCGCCTGTTTTGTGAGAGTAGAAATAACAATTCTACAGTCTGTTGACCCACAACCCACTCACTAGTGGTACTACTAGAACATGGTGATTTACTGTAACTGTGAATATGATAGTGATGAGATACATGTAGTATAAGAAAGAGGAGTTGAAGAATGATGACATAATGGAATTGAGCGCTGATATGTAACTGAGCTTTTAATTTCTGAGGGCACTTTATCTCAATGGGGCGCTTACTTGGTCTCTGAAATGCCCTGGACTTTGGGGAATTCTGAGGGTCAGAAAACACTTACTACAACATGAGTAAAATATGTTTCAATTTCTATTGGGATTGAATATGCAACAAGTAAAAATTCTTAAGTGCAATAGATGGCCTTAAAATTTCATAATTTAAAGATATTTTATGTATTTCTGAAACAAGCTATACTTCCGATAACTTCTTACCAACTGTTCGAATAATATTATTCGTATGACATTCGAGAATATAATCTGAAATATAAAAATCTTTGTAACAAGCTCTCTCAATTTCTTAGACCAACATATCCATAACAGGGATTTTTTTTTTCAAACATGACAATCTGACTAGGTTATCTTACACTATCCTGTTGCAATTTAGGTGCACGGATTCACACAAAATTAATCCCTTCTATTTTGCCATTGTTTGTTTACCTCATTAATTCATTTAGTCTGAGACCGACTGCGGTGAGCACATTTTTTGAGACCGACTATTTTTTTACCATGGGGAAAACATTTCTTAGAACAACATACTCACAACAGAATAAGAGTGCAAATCATTTTTTCAAACATGATAGTTTTGTGTGACGTATGCATAATTTTGAGACGGATCGCAGTAACTGCACTTATTTTGAGACCGACTATTTTTCTCCCTGAGGGAAATTTTGTTCTTAGACCAACATACTTACAACAGAATAAGAGTGAAACACAACATTTTTTCAAACATGATAAATTGACAAGGTTATTTTATACTAAAGTTTTGCGTGAGTAGGGTGACGTATGGAGTGAGCACTTATTTTTATACCGACTGCTCTTATTTTGCGACCGACTGCACTGATTTTGCGAACGACTATTTTTTTTTCTGGTACCCCTCCCCACATTTACGCTACAAGTCATGTCAAACGGTGACGTCATATTCTTATCTGGAGATTTAACACAGAGGTTGGGAGCGATTTCCGAAGTGGGGGGTCTGACAACAATAATTGAGGGACGAAGTCCCGAAAACGAAGCGTTGCGTAGCGACATGACAAGTGTATTGCTGGAGGTGCCGAGGGCATAACCGGCGTGGGGTTTGGGGTCCGCTTAAGGGCTCCACGAAAAATTTGAAACTTTGACGTGATTTTTTGCATTTTTAAGTAAACCAAAACCCTCCTGCTAACACGAAAGAAAAGCTGACCATGACTCACCACTCATGTTATCCATGATGAGAACAATGCCAGTTATAATTATTATAAATGTAGAATGGGACGAACTAACAAATTTTTTTTTTTTTTTTTTGCAAAAAAAAGTGGGGGTGGGCTGAAGTCCCCACAGCCACACCCTGTTCCGCGGTCCCTGTTAAACATGCACAATAAATACTATCGGTGTAGGCTGGAATAATTAGATGCTAGAGATTGTCATTCAATCGAGACTTCTGGCATATTTCGCCGAACATAAATTGATAAATGATTAAAAATTAAGAGTAAAAACGGAAAAGGATTGAATGTAAAATCAATTTAATTATGTACATTCATATTACATTATTATATGCATTGCGACCCATTTGCGATTTCGCGTCAATTTCTAGGTCCCAAATATTTGCGATTTAGCTCCTTTAAACACACAATGATAAACAGGTCACCTACTAGGCTGGACCATGGACTTTGCGTTTAAAATTAAGTTATTAAAAGTCTGACATCCTGGCGATACGAATAATAATTTTTAATTATCAAAAATGTCTCTACATACCTCTCCTGACGTGAGACTCTTAACAGCATTTTTAGCTATTTTACCGATGTTCATCTTGTCATCAACTTGTACAGAAGAACCCGGTGTCAAAAACTGGATGTTAAATTCTATCAGTTGTATAACCAACTTATATAAACCCCAAACAATCACTGTGATCCACTCCAATATGATATACAACATCACGTGATAACCAATGTGATAGCTCAATCGGTTAACCTCGTCTATTACAATCGGTCTACCGTGGATAATAAACGGGCACGTCTTTTTACTTGGGCAGACAGAGACTCCGCTCAGAACCTATAGCTAGGCTTATTCCAGGGTCTTCGGGTCAATAAAACTTAAGCAAAACACTGAAAATATAAATACATATATATTAGTATTACAGGCTTGCGAACAAGACAGACAGAACATGTAATCAAAATAGAAGAAAAATATAAATATAAGGAACATATAGACCTAATTATAATTATTGGCGTGAACTAAATACACAACAAAGAAATAAAGAGAGAAACTATTCATAGCCTGGCAGAGGTGTATTTAATACCTAGACTGAATAAGTCTAAATCATAACAATACTTCTATAAAATACAAGAAAACAACCACATTAATTAACGATCAAGGTTATTATTATTATTACATAATTAAAAGAATTAAATGCCTATTAGAATTAAGTTATGCAGGTTAATTTAATATAAGTTTAAGGGGTTGGATGGCAGAATGGTTAGTGCTTGCGCGGTGTATGAGGTCTGTCATTGAGTCAACTGGCGTGGTTTCGATTCTCCGGTTGTACGTGACAAGGATTATAGGGTCGCCTGTCCAACCTCGTGAGTTTTCTCCCGGTATTCCAGTTTCATCCCACTGCTAAAGACCCCTACGCTCAAGCGAATTATATTGAAATAAAACTGAACCATATATTAGTCCCGAAATGACCTAGTTTGTGTTGAGTGGACGTTACCCCCCCACCCTCTCTCTCATACGATTTTACTATATATATATAGAGAGAGAGAGTGGTCCAAAGGCAGCTTTGAATATGTGTGCTAAAAAACTAAACCTACTTGTCTGCTTGATGCATCTCTAACGACAAATAAACCTAACTCAAATGAGCACAATTCAGTTACGAGCACGTGCATTCGCTGCACTCAGCAAACATAAGCTCAAAATATGCATTCAAGTCACAATAGTCATTCACTCTTATTTGTCTATGGAGCTCTTTAAAAATAAGAAATATAAAATACCTGCATGGATTTAGAATATAATCTCAGTAGAAACTGTCCTTCACAAAAGGTCCTGTTTTGTAAAGACAAGAAAGAAGTTCAGTTTTAAGGCGTAAGTGAACTCAGTGAACATAATTACAGCACAGCAAACTTAACAACAAATCTTGAAATCTTGGCCATCCTCTAACATAATGAGACAGAACAAATGACATGAACCAAACCAACACCAAATCAAATCAACACCGGATATTATATAATATACTCTTTATTATTCTGAAACATAAATAATATCCACTCTACTGACTTGCGATATCAATCCAGGTGGAACCGAGCGTTAAATACTACATTTTACAGATATCCTAGATGGAAGGGGAAAGTAACCCTTATTTGCTAATTTCTTACCGATTTTTGTCTGCGATATCGCCTTGATGTAGCAACAGTTATACCAGCTGCTGGGAGTCACGGTGGCTAAGTGAGTAAGACGTTTGCTTGCTAACCTTTGAAGTCCCGTGTTCGGGACTGGCAAGGGAAAACGTATAGTCTTTGGAATGGGACGAAAACCCGAGGTCCCGTGTACATATTGGCATGCACGTAAAATATCCCTTGGCAGTTGGAATTCGATGTAAGAGTAGGCCGCAGCGCCGCTGTCCGGGCAAAATTTCCCTCATATTAGCACACTGTATGACGTATGCCCGTCTTCATTAGCAGCACAGTAGGACGTTAAACCCCGTTTCATTTCATTTCGTTTCATACCATCAGCTACTACTTCTACATGTACCTCGTCTACGATAGGGGAGCCGCAGTGGCTCAATGGGTAAGACGTTTAACTCGATAAGTTGGCGGTCCCGTGTCTCTGCGTTTGTCCGACAAAGTTCATCTGGATTTTGCACCGTGGTTCCTTCTTGTCAGTGATGCGGGACCGAGGACCTGACAAGGGTTAGATTATAGTCGTTCGGATGGGACAAAAAACGAGGTCTCGTGTACTTATTGGCATCTACGTAAAAGATCCATTGGCAGTTGAAATTCGGTGTAAGACGTAGGCCGTTGCCCTGCTTCCCGGGCAAACTTTCCCGCAAAGACATTTCAACTATCAATTTCCTGAACGGTTTATAAGTATGAATTGGATGTAGATAAACAAAAACGAGGAAAGAACAGTACATGGTCATTGGAAAGTGCTGCACCGGAACAAGTTTATGTGCGAGATAACAGGGCCAGGTAAAATATTAATTATCTCAAGCACTTGATTTATTGTCAACTTTATGCATTCGACAACCCCTTATATAAACATAAAAGTCATATATTTTATATCGATTAAATACCATGGCCCAACGTTTAATGTCATTGAATTTGAAACCATTTAGGTTATCCGGGTCATTATAGTTATAAATTGTTATCTTGGATTTAATTTAGATTAAACAACAGATTTTAAAAACCAATATTGGTGCGGACCATTTGTTATTATTGGGGGCTATGTAATTTAGGAAACAAAGAATTACGCGCAATAAGAAATTGTGGGATTTATGAATCCCTTCCAAACTGAAGATTGTGAAAGCTGAATATCCAAAAGGAATATATACACAAAGAAAAAATGTTAAGCACCCCCTGTATTTTTCACAGTGACTTACGTGTCTTACACGGGTTGATGTTAAAACCCTGATAATATAACCTGGTTTGCAAGCATCTATCATATAAGAAAACATAAAGAGTGTCCGAGGGACAGCTTTTCTTCAAAATGATGCTGTGACGACCTTCCCTTGGTCTGCAGTGGGCCCTGACCTCAACGTTAGAGCATCTTTGGGGTGTCGACTACAGGCACTGAACCCATCTGTAGAAGCCCTCGAGCTAGCTCTACATCGACAATGGCAGTAGTTGCTCATCGGACGACTCACTAGAGGGATGGGACGGAGGGCGTGGAAGCTGTCATCTGGGCAAATGGCCGGTTTACCCGCTATTAAAGATGTGTCTCCACTGGCAACTTTGCAGGACTTAAAATAACATCTTTCATCATCAATAATGATATTGAATTGTGTTTCTGATTCTACACCCCCTTACTTATTATGACATTCTGTATCCGCTGCAGACGATATAAATGGGAAAGGCCTAAAGCCAGCAACACCTATAATATCGCTAAATTCTTTTGATGCGCCTGTTTTTCATCTCTTTGAAATCCAAGCTGGGATATTATCTACCGCTGATATTTTCAAGGTGAGAATTTTGCTTTTTCCGAAAAATGCAAATGACAAAATTATAATTAAACATTCGTTAAAGATACTTCCCCCAGAAAGGTATTTATCGGGTGGTTATTTCCAATAAAAGTATGGCAGTTTTGGTATATGGAAAGTAGAGACACACAATCTTACTAGAAAAATGCCGAATTCCATGAAAAACACCCATGGTGTGCGCAGAGGACAAAATTGAGAGAGTGTCACTAATATTGGCAACCTGACGATTAAGGACTGTCGGTTTGAGTGATGTCAAAGGTTGCACGCGTAGACTGTCTGAGCTCTTGGCGTTAGGGATCGCTTATATGTTGATAAACTTGATCGTGAGCGAGCGGACATGGAAAAAATGAGAAACTTAAACATACAACAGTTTCCGAGATAATAACCACGGAAAAAGGACGTGGGCAGGGGATAATCCGAGAATTGACTTAGGCTTCGATATTTATGCAATGAATTCTCCTCCGACTTCGCACCCTTTGCTAGTTAACGCGACAGCCAAGTCACGTAACACAAACATGACTTCTTTTAATAGTATTTTTTCAGATTGGGGTATTTCCTCGCGAATACAATGTTTAGAGAGGGATTTGGAGCACATTTTTAATAGATTAATTAGTTTGAATATGTTTTTAGTCCAAATATATCATCAAATCACCCAGTTTGTACGCGGGAAGGTATCTTTAAAATAATGTATTATCTCCGAAGTTTACAAGTAATTTATTCACAGAGCTGTAAGCCATATAGTGCAACAGTCAACAATGATAACACAAAAACGCACAGAAATGAAACCTATGTAATTAATTTAATTTGAAGATTTTCATTTTTTGTAGACATTTTAAATCCATAAACAGTTGGGTTAAGTCGATTCAATTTATATAGGGACATATCATTTTGTTCTTAAGGATTTTAAAGATTTTCAGCATAATCTAAAGTGAGAGAGAGAGAGAGAGAGAGAGAGAGAGATGGGGTTTAACGTCCACTCGACACAAACTAGGTCATTTCGGGACTAACAAATGGTTTAATTTCATTTCAATAATTCGCTTGCGCGTAGGGATCTTTAGCAGTGGGAGGAAACCGGAAGACTCGGAGAAAACCCACGAGGTTGGACAGGCAACCTTACTCCTTGTCACGTTTAACCGATGATTCGAAATCACGCCAGTATGCGATACTTTGGTACATAATAATTTAAATAACTTTCAAAACAAAATTCATTTTTAAATAGATTATAATATTTAAAGTTAGATAGATTTCTACGGCTGCAACCCTAATAATTGTAGATATTGATCACGTATACGAAGAATTATAGGACCAGGTTTAGGTGAACAACACAAATGATTAGTTCAGATATGAGATAAACCAAGTAATGATTTAACGGCGTATTATGTGCACTATTTATTTAATACAATGCTGACAGATTATAACTTTTGTGGTTTATCATATGCATAAACATAGGTATAATAATGGTCATACAGAGTTGTGATACAAAGGTCATGGATGAATACTCTACTGTATTTTATTGACTCGAACTTTCAAAGGTCCTTAGGTCATGAACTGGAGTTTTGTAAATTTTATGGTTTGTTCTACATGAGGTGGGGGTAAGATTACTATTTTTAAAACAGCTGCTTCACATTATTTAAAAAGTTCAAACGCTATAGTGTTCTACTGAACTGTTGTTCAAGAGAAGCAATATGGACACAACTCACCAAATTAGGGCGAAAGTTATTTTTAGTCTTTCTCTCCCTTTCACTCCCCCCCCCCCTCCCCTTTGCATGGCGACTGTTGTTGACTTTTTAGTGTAGAATCGAAGAAAAGGGCCTGGAAATACATTTTCTGCCAGGTTTTGGTGACTATTCATGATTTTGCGGCGGAAGGATACAAGAGTTGAGATATTGGTTAGGTTGAAATGTAGGTCCGAAAATTGGATGTTACATGTCTCTACTTCAAGCTTGTGTACCTCAAGTTTTTCATGGTGAACCTCAAACGTGCTTTTGGGCAAGAGTTTGCCACATGTTGCTCCATCTGTGGCAAACAGCGTTCTACCCAACGAAAATTTGGGAAAAAGTTAGAGCCAAGAGACGAGAATTAACATTAAAGTCATTGGGGAAATCATTAGTGATCTGTGGCCATATACGTATAAGGAATAGAGTAGCCTCCCTTTATTAGCCAATTTTCCGTTTCTAGTAAAACTTTAAACCACAAGAAGAATAACCCAGTGGCAGCGCACGCGTTTAGCCCCGCAACGGTAGCACAAACTGGGCGGTTTTTGATGAATCTTGATGGTATTTAACACTTTCTGCATGGCAATCTATTAACTGAATATGTGTATTAGATTATAGATGGTAAGCTCAGTTTCTTTCCTTTTTTCATCAAATCTGAATGATACCCGGTCCCTAGTGTGAGATTTTACACAGCATATGACATTTTACACAGCGCGGGGATGGGGTCTAAACCCCCGGGATCGAAACGTTTTCAAAGATATGTGGTCTCTAGCCTCATTGTGGCGTGTATCTGGGGTAACTGGAAGTCACTTTGTTAAAACACAGATACTGAGATTTTACACATCGTAAGACATACCAAAATACTTGTACTACGTTTTAGTTTTACTAATGTAATAATAATCATATTTACACTGACAGATTCCGATTCTAATTCTACCCATGCCACTAGGTACCCACTTGAAGAAACGTCACCGGTTTTCTTCTACTTAAAAGTAACAGTGCATTTTGTTTATTAACTAATACACATTGGCCTGCACGTAAAAGAACCCGCGACAGTTGGAATTCGATACAAGAGTAGGCCGTAGCGCCGCTGTCCCTGTAA